AGCAGTTGGACAGGTGTACCTAATAAAGTGGCCGGTGAGTGTATATATACTTTTAAAAACAGTGAAATGTGTACATTCTAAAATATGTAATTTGTTGGAACTAAGCTGGAAAAATAAATATGGAAGTCAGTTAAATTATAAAACATGAGGTAAAATTCTCCTTTTTAAATTTTATTGGTGCACTTTAAGAGTATTTATTCTTATTATTGGTCCATTTATATATTTCAGGTTTTGTTTCTAATTATGTCAGTTTTGGTCCTCCATAAAAATTCTCCCACAAAATGACAAATATTTTCTCATCTATTAATAAAATGTTTCATTTGTTCTGCTTTATTCTCAGTGCTTCTTCTGTGAGATTCTGGTCAGTTTTCTGCATGCAGGGAATGACGACTCCTTTTAAGCCAAACAAAGCTTTAAAGGTAAGCGCGGGGAGGGCTCTGGGATGTTTCACAGCTTGCCGTTTCCATGTGAAGCCCTTCATTAATTTTCTCACATCCTGCAGGTCAAGAAGGAGACGGGCGAGAATGCCCCGGCGCTCAGTGACGACGAGTTGGTGGCCATGTCCGTCCGCGAGCTCAACCAGCACCTGCGCGGCCTGACCAAGGAAGATGTCGTCCGGCTGAAGCAGCGYCGGCGCACCCTCAAAAACCGAGGCTACGCCGCCAGCTGCCGCATCAAACGCGTCACCCAGAAGGAGGAGCTGGAAAGGCAGAAGATGGAGCTGCAGCAGGAGGTGGAGAAGCTGGCCCGGGAGAACGCCAGCATGAGGCTGGAGCTGGACGCCCTGCGGGCCAAGTACGAAGCCCTGCAGTGCTTCGCCAGAACTGTGACCCGGGGGCCCATGTCACCGGGGAAGGTGGCCGCCACCACCAGCGTCATCACCATCGTCAAGTCCGCTAACCACAACAACGCCAGCCCCACCTCGTTCTRCGCTCCCTCCTAGTGCCTGACAGGACTGGGCTCCTCTGTCTCTCGCCTGGTCCTCCTTGGTTCTGACCCACTCACCCTGTACTGAGAGGACGCTCAGTAGTTCGTTAGACTGAYGGATGAGGTGGGACGCTCTATGTGATGTTATGCTGCGTTCACGGCCCTTCTGTCTCTAACACAATCTACACTGTCTGCACACTGTTCACACACACCCCTACCCRGATGACCCCCCAGCACTGGCAGGGTCCGGGCCTCTCTCACCCATGACCGARGGCAGAAATTTGCTTCAACTCCACTGTGATGTCATTTAAGATGCGACTGCTCTGTTGCTGTAGGACATCAAATCTGAGCGATGGTAACGACCGTCAGCTGTTGAGTTGTAATAAAATCAGATTTTTTTAAATTCACACAAAATAGTGCAGATTTGAAGCTATTGCTTTAAGTGACTCAAACCTGACTCACAGTTTAGCACACTGAGGCGTTACGGCTGCTAGATTTAATGTCAGGCTGCTTCTTCGTGGCCACAGTTCATSTGACTTTGAAGGTGGGTTAATTTAGGTTTTGTAGCGATAACCTCGTAGTTTGTTTTGAATTCCACCGTTAGAAAAGAAAATTGGATGCAGACCTTTCCCGGACTGTGCTGACTTGCACTTAAGGTAAAATTGCCTTGTTTTCAGCTGACACAAAGATCAGGACGAGTCTCCTCAGCTACAGGTCGTCTGCATCGGGTGTARTTTTAGATTCATTTTGCCGACGCATCACGAGGACAGTTTTAGCGGAAACTCTGTGAAACTGTTCAGTGTGGCAGAAACGTGACAAAGAAAAGCTGTTTGGGGAGGTGTTAAATGTGATTCTGTTGGCGTGTCGACTCAAAGTCCCGAGTTTCTTTGTTTTATCTAAAGATGAAACTGGTTTTATGTGTTTTTAAAACTCAACTTGGGATGAGTAAAATGGGATTAAGGAACAGATTGAACAAGATTAGTTTGACTTTATAGAGGATTTATAGCACTTAAAACTGTAAGGATACAGTATAAAGGAAAATAATTCCCTCAGCAACTTATTTGTAGAAATTGGCAAAGGTGATGGAAGCTGTTCTTGTATGTTTGAAGCTGTTGGGAGTTCTATTAGCATTGGGATTAAAATGTGGTGCYACTTTGCAATGCAACTGAGGACGTTATGAACCGTTTAATGCTGCAGCACCTAACGTTTGGTGGGTAATCCATATTGGATATTGTAATAATAAGAGCAGTCTTTTAAACAAATAGTCCATCCACTTCCTGTATATTACAGATTCTGTTGATAAACTCCGTCCTTTAAAGAAATCATTCCTCCTGCCGGGTCACGAGATGTGCCGCCGCCGCCGCTGGTGTTTCACAAACTGCCTTGCTTTTGACTCACTCTTCTACAAGAAAACTCCTGACATCAATTTCTTTAAAATGAAAATTTAAAAAAGCGATGTCATGAGAACTAAATGCAGTAAATGTTTTGCTCTTGTTAAACTTTTTTWTTTTTTAGTATTTAAATTTGAAATGAACTTGAAGCTCTTCTTACAGAGGATCCATTCCTAAAGATTGTTCATGTCAGGGTTTTCTCTTGGCTAAAGAGAACATGACTGTTCTTCTCGTTCCACAGCTGCAAAAAAAAAAAAAAAAAAAAAAAAAAAAAAAAAAAAAAAAAAAAAAAAAACTTACAAAAATGTCAGTTTGGGGAACTTTGCTGCTGTACAACCTGCTGTGATGTTTGAAAGCAGGTGCATTGCTGTGTTCTTACTCTCATTTTGTATTTTCACCTGATTTCTGTCGATGCGTCCCTCGTTCCTTTTCAAATATTCGTTTTATACAGTCTGCATATACAGCATATAAATGTTGCATATTTTTATATCTTGTACTATCTGGTGTGATTATATAATCAGTCTTTGAAGTCTAAATGTTACAAGTGACAAATGTTGGATTCACAGTTTCAATTAGACAACTTATGTCATAACCTTTTTTTTTGTATTTATATACAATAAATCTTTAGATAAAGTAGACAAACGGTGACTGGGGTTACATGCAGGCTGCAGACAATTATCTCTATCATTGTAAACATAATAATATAAGAAAACAGACTAGAATGGGATCAGTGAAGTCCAACGTTGACCAAATGTTCAGTCTCTTTATTCTAACGAGTCACTGCAWACCCTAAAGTTTACCTGAAACATTTCAAGGTTCAAGCAAAGATGACTGTAATACTTTAACTGTTACCTGAAAATGATTTCACTCATTCGAGTTGAAGTCAGACCAGAACGTCTTGTTTACATAATTTAACCTTTAAACCTTCAGGGAATGGGTAATGTGGCTAAAAGCAGTTTCTGCAACAGCACTACAGTGACCTCTTCTGGTTAAAAATAATAAAATAAATTAAGCACATTAGATTCAAGACTGAGGTGATTGATTTCTATAAGCACACCTAAATAATTGTTTAATAAAATGTAAGATTAAATATTTCTGTATTGTGCCAAATACATGACAAACCTTTTTCTCTGGGTGAAAAAAAGACTTATTTAGTGTGACCAAGCAGAGGCCTATTTATACTTTCCTTTTAGGCAAATCAGCTACAAATAAAATAATTTGAAGACGTTTTATACAAAGATGTAGACAAGTTTATTGAAGGTTTACTGAATCTGGTCCAGACACTTCCTTTTCTTCCTACAGTCCTTTTATCGTTTTTAAATAACCAGTACATGTGATGGACTTGTATAAGATTAGGTTGATTCAATTAGTCTAAAAATGTAAATATGTGAAAATTTATTTCTATCTAGATTTTTTTTTTTTTACTGAAAATGTTTTTGAATACATAAGCTTACACAGTCCTACAAGCTACTGTGCTCCACTTCAGCTGTTATTGTATGAGGGATGGAGAGTTAAATTAAAGATTGATTGCTGCATGGAGTCTATGTGTAAAAGAGAGAATTTATTTTCCCAGTTTTATTGTAACTTGAGGCCTAAAAGGACAGTAAAACAAACRGAGTATGTGCTTTTTAAACACGTCATTACTCTGCTCATATACAGTTTATATTTATTGTTTTATGGATTTGTGTAAGATTAAAAAAACACCTAAATTATTTTTATTTTACATTCTTTTATTTACATGTTTTTCCTCAATGAACTACCTTCATGTACAAATAAAATCTGTATTTTTCTGCTCTGAGTAGCTGTAACGTCTGTTTTTGGAAAAAGTCACAGTTTGATACTTACATACTGTATTACAATTTTTATTTTGCATACAAGCCAAACAAAATTAAAAGAAAAATAAACTACTGTGACATTTTTGTACCCAACTGCCTGCTTTCCCAGAAAGACAACTAGTTTTGGCACAGAAGGGTGTATAAAAGAAGAGGTTGGATTTATTAGACAAAACTGGCCCCTGATTGCTTTTGTTTTTAAAAGCAAAAAAAAAAAAAAAGTAATGCTGGAGTTTCTATTTTCTGAATATTTTGGACTTCACACAATAAATACATTCACAATAAAAACATTTTAAACAACTGCAAATTATTACACACAACACTAATCATTTTTACAATCCCTGTAGTGGTGAAACAAAGTTATCACCTAAAACTACAAAAATACACACCATAATGGATATTTTAAAAGAAATACAATTGTTAGAATTTGTTAAATAAACATTTAGTTGGACTAAATGAACTTTTTTTTTGCATGGTGGGAAAATTAATGAGAATATCCGAACTCCCACTCTGTAGGAGACAGGTTTTATCTAAATTGTCCCAGTTCAGGTGGATGCAAAGGATTGTGAAGTGCAGTCTGCAGTTTGAATTGCCTGCTTCAAAACTAATGCGTCTTTGAACAAATCCTTTCATTTGTCAGGAAACCATGCAGAGGAATGCTCAGCAAATACTTCAAACGAGCAGATGCGAGAAACGGTCCATGAAGTGCCATTCTCCGCCGTCGCTGGCTTCCCTGCCTCCCACCTGGAGCCGCACATTAATCATCTCCTCTTTGAAACTGACGTGACTCAGAGAAAACGCACTTCAGACAGCCAGAGAGRCGCGGTGGCGCCCTGACAAAACAAAACATCGGCACCGGGGACGCAGCTGAAAACCTGGCAGCTTATTTTTTTAAAAAAAGTGAACGCGCGACCCCAGACTTCAGTGACGAAGTGAAGATGACATGTCATTTTCTAGATTATCACAGAAAGATGGAGACAGATCTTCCCTCTGACAATTCAGCAACAAATTAAACAACAAAAAAAGAAACCCCGTCAAACTTCATCCGCATCTTCGGCTTAAAATATCACTGAAARGGGGCGGAAGCAGGCAGTCCATTTTAAATACTGGGACGATGAATATTAAACACCTGGATTTAATCCAGCTTTGTGAGATATGCAAGCTGTTTCCCTACGAGGTCGAAGATAAAGGTGGAAGGGGCACCAACACCTGGATCCTGCTGGAAAAATGCCTAGAACTCATCATCAGATGTGATCAGCATGATCTTGTCAGCCTTGCGAGAGCTCTTGTTGCCGGTGGCCACTTTTCCGTTGGAGCTGGGCTGGGTGACCTCCTGAGTGGATTGCTGAGTGTACTGCTGATAGGCTGGGGAGAAGTTGTGGATAGCATCCTGCACCATGTCTCCTGGGTTTATGGTTTCCTTCAAACCACTGGAGATGCTCTGCATTGGGGGGACAATTTCTGCAGGAGAAAAAAAAGCACTTTAAATAGCTGTTTTGATCCTTTTAGCCATTCGTCGTGGTTTTGCTACATTWACCTTTTAGCTACTGTCTTGCTATTAGMCGTGGGCCGAATWRCGGTTTCGAGGTYTACCATGATATGAAAAAGTCACWGTTTCAAAACCARTAAAATTTTCTGTCATACCGTGCCWACGGTATATGCATTTTTTGTTTATTTTTCCTCTGGTCTGTGCCGCTGCAGACTTTCCCCCGCGCACTCCCGCAGCAGACTGCCTGTCGGCAGCACTCTGCTCAGCTCAGCGCTGCGGGGGTTTTGCGATGGTGGCTGAATAACAGAGTTCCCCAAACTTTTTCCCTGTCTAAAATAATAAAACCAGCTATATGAAAATACTTAGGATGRCGTAAAAARGACAGCAATGTGGACCATGGAGGCAAKACATCTAACATGATCGRAGCTCCAGGTAAAGTTATGCTATCTTGAAATGAACGAGCTAACGTTAGCATCAGATTGTGAAACATATCACCGTGTTGGCTTAACGCGCCSATCACAGCTTGTCTYCAAAACTGTTTGAGTTGTTGGATTGTGTATTTGATAAGTTTTAAGCGAAAGGTGATAAAACTAAATGCCTCCTTTGGCCGAGCAGCTCGTTAGTTGAACGTGCATTTCATAATGCATTCATAGTTGTGATTTCTTGTTTCTGTGTGCATACAATTATATAATCTTTACGTCAAAACCCTTTTGAAATTTAAAAAACAAAATAAAAACCTACAACATGATACATTACTTCAATAAAAAGACTTGTCGTGCAGTATACACTGATTTGTCTTAAATAATAAAGCAATAGAAAAGCAGTTATCCTATGAGATGCAAACTTTGTCGGGATAACTTAACTGCATTAGGCGCTAAAAATCATAAGTACAGATGCACACAGGTAAATAAAATTTCAGCATAACACCTCTGAGATCTAAAAACAGCTTCCAAATATGATTAAAGTTGAATATCGTAATAGAAAAGTTATTTTCTTTTTTCTTTTTTTAAAATACATATTTCAAAACTTTTAGAGCCGTAATCATAATACCGTCATACCGCGAAACCYTGATATTTTTGCCCAAGGTTATCATACGTCATAATTTCATTTTGTTCCATGCCTACTTGCTATATTTCTCTTTTGGCTATTGTTTTACTTCTTTTAGCTTGTAGCTCTGTTTTTAACCACTGTTTTGCTAATGTTAGCYTTTAGTTACGATTTTGCGTGTTTTAGCTTTGAGCTCCTGTTTCGCTTATTTTTACTTCTTCTGCTTGTCTTAGCGACTGTTAATTACTGATGGTCTTGCATTACATTTACATCGTATTCCGGAACAYGGAAGTTYTAGTGATGTCATTTCCCAACAAACCGTTTGAAACTGCATTCCAACACAGCTACAATATAGACAATGACAAAAAGAGAGCTCTACTACATACGTCACGCAAATCAACATTGATTTTAATACGTACACAGAAAACACACTACTTGTGCAKGTGATTAAACATGCACAAAAACATTAAGAACAATAATTAACAGTTAAAMTTACAGAGTTAACTTCCTAAAGCTGTGAGCAGCCGCCATCTTGAAATCAAAATTGGGTTTAGTTGCAGCCATTCCCACTGCACTAATGGGATTTACCACTGGAGTTCCAGTTTAAATTTACGAATGGGAGCAAGAAAATTTCCACCTCCCGGTGCTACTGGAATGCACTATAGAAGCAGCCAGCTGTGAGCCAAACCCATTCAAACACAGGACTAAAAGAKTTACTGAAACAAAAAGCAGAAAAGAACGTGATATTTCTCCAAACAGCAAAGACGAGGATGAAAAACAATAAAACAGAAGTGACTTATTCCATGTAGCTACAAAACAACTGAAGATTGAAACAAATCTATTCATCTCCACCCTCCTTAATGTCATCTTGACTGAATAAAGTGAAGTACTTCTGTGTGATGTGAAGTAAAAGGAATGGAGTAAAAGAAAATAAGATGATTTAACTCATTTCCCTCTAATTTCCTTAGAGTTTTTCTTGCAAAGAGCTCTGATGTCAAAGCCGTGACACCTCCTCTGTGCTCAGTAACATATTGTAGCTTTTAATCGTTTCATCTTCCTTCTCTTTACTTGAACGGTAATTGCCCTGTGAGCCATTTGTTTCAATGTGTGCTTTTAAGGCAGCCACCCGACTGGCACATACAGGACTTTTAGCAGCACAAGAGTAAATTTGTCATTTTTACTTTGAATTAAAAATGGGGTAAAAGGAAATATAAATGCGCCACACGGGCTGCTTGTTAAATAAAGAATTGAGGTTTAAACTTTTATTAATTACCTCCAAAGATCTAAAGTGCCCCCTGTTCATCTACATTGTTGATTTACTTGCACCTTGAGCTGAGCTCCTTCCTTTGCTTCTGAGGTGGAACCTTCCTGACGTCCCCTCAGACCTTCTTGCCACATCACCCTCCAAGGCAGTGGGAATCCTTATTAGAAGTTGGGTTAGAAAACTTGCATACTTTTAACAAATTTTCTAAATCTATTCTAGAAAAGACTTTTGTCCCTACCTACATTCACTAATTAATTAAGGGTGGTGGGAGTATTGTGTATTTTCCAGGCACATAGTTRCATTCTAGACCACAATTAAGTAACTATGTTGCCTTCAGTTGTTATGAAAATGTTGTGTATATATATATATATCCACAATAAATCTGATCATTGGCCTCTGTCTCTTTAATAATCTCCTACCATTTCTGACACTCCCACTTCAGCACGTCTTTACAAAAATGCTTCGGGGGAGGGGTGCTCTGTAGGGCAGAAGCTCAGCTGCAGACTGAGGTACAGGGAGGAGCTTTGTTTAAATAGGCAGAGCTTTGCACAAATGGGTGGTGCTTTGTACCAGAAAGCATTTAGGGCAGCTCCACATGGCTACAACAAGGAGTAAGGGGTCTCTGCAGTAGGTTTTGTCCTGTGGGCAGAGACGCTAAAAGATAGCTAAAAATCAATATCTTTTTACAAGCTAGTTAGGGATGTTTTAAGCAAGCCATATTGTTACACATCCTTTCACATGTATGATGTTCAAATTTCGTGCAGATAGCATTTTCCTTTCTCAAGTTATGACTAAAATTAATCTTAAAAAAAAAAATGTTACTTCCTGCCCGACTCCACCAAACTACTCCCTGCTAGAGGTGGGCGGATCGATACTAAATATCGATAATATCGATATCAGTGCTGGTATTGATACTGAACAATACTCGTATAAAAAGATCGATACTCAAGCTTTGTTCTTTCCCGCACACAATAACTGCTGCACACGTGGATTTTTCAAAGTCTACTCTCTTTCTGTAGTACTGCAGTGCTAGCCAAACAGCTAAAAGCTAACTAAGCAGGTAGGCTGGCCCACCCACTCAGCGCTCTCACAGAGCCCTCTACCTCAGGAGGTTTTGTTTTAAGTTGTGTTGAGTGAAATTTTTAGTCTGTTTATTTACATAAAACAGAATTGTATTGAAAGGAAGAAAATTCCTTATTTTTTGTTTTTCCTTGAACAATTTTGTTTAATAAAAGAAACAAAGAAATAACTAGGAAAGATGTCTAGTGGTGAGGGAAGATTTTTTTATTTTATTTTTGTATAAAAGATTTATTTTCCTAATGTTAAAGGTAACTGGTTTGTTACTGCTTTACTGTTGGCAAGCAAAAATATTGATTGTTATAATAAAGTATTTTGTTGTCACGTACAATGTTTGGCGAAATTCTATCCTAGATCTTTTGGATCTTTTCAAATTATGAAGCTTGAAAAATATCGGTATCGGTATCGATATCAACGGTACTGGCCCTGTATTTACTTGGTATCGGATCAATACCAAAATTCCCAGTATCGCCCACCTCTATTCCCCGCTGCCTCCGGCCTCAAACCCCCACCATCAATCCGACCAATCACGTCTCGGGCCACCTCCGCCCACATTAAGACCTCGGCCAATGACGATTTGGGCTGTCTCCGCCCACAGGACAACACGTTCTGCAGAGACCCCTACTTGACAACAAGAGATTCAGGGGATTTCTCAAACATGCATGAATGAGTCAAAGCAACACTCTGGGTATGTTTTTGATGAGGGAATGACTTTTTAACACGATATAAAGCTAAAACACACAATTTGCATAATACCCCCCATTAAAATGTTTGATTTAAAGCTCATTTTTTTCTAAAGTAACACCTTTTCTGAATAATAATAATAATAATAATAATAATAATAATAATAATAATAATAATAATAATAATTATTATTATTATTATTATTATATTTTGTCTACATGTTAACTTTTCTTTCCCTTTGTCCGTGCTTTGCTTTAGTTTCTCCCTCTCCTTCACCTCTTTTCCCTCTGGGGCTTTTCTGAGTGTACTTTGAAAGCTGAACCTTTCTGTTTCGGTCTGCSGTCGCTGGTCATTTCTGGCCCCGGAGCTGCTTGTTTCTGGTCTGTGACTGACAGCCCATCCAGCCTTCCCCTCATTCATCTGTCTCAATGGACCATTACTTCCAAAACTGTCACACACAATATCCCTCTCTGCTTTGACACATCCTATTTTCATTGTCATGCCAGCCCACTCGGCGGCAATGCAACTGACAATTAGCAGTGGCAGTAATAGTGACTATTCTCAGGATTAAAACAGTAATCCGTAGGAGAACACCTTCAAAGCTTTTCCATAATTACTACCTTAAATACAAGATTTTCTTCCATTTTATCCACTGTCAATCTTGTATGCACCATTTCTCACTTTCACATTTCGTCTCGGCGGTGCACAGTTTAGATGGTAATTTGCTTTATCTCCTTCCTCCTCCTCTCCACCCAACTCCCCTCAGGGAAAAGGGTTCTACTTTATAAACCAGTTTCTAATCAAGGTTTTGACTAGATAGAGGACGTTAAAGTGGAGCTTGCCCCTCGTTGCTGTCACCTTAGTGTGTTTGCTTTGAGAGACTCGGCCTCTGGCAGCTTGTAGAGAAAATTTGAACAATTCTGCTGTTAATTTATTTTGTTATCAATTATTTTAAAAACCTGCTTGTTTATAATTTCTCTCTTATTTTTGAGCTTATTCTTTAGGTCYTTGTGTAGCTGGTTGAGCATGATCTGTTCCTGGTTCAGTTCACTGCTGCACATTATGGCCCTCGCGCTCTCCCTCTTCTGTCTACTTCCTGGTAAATAAAGGCCATTAGGCAACAAATCAAGCTGAACACAACCCACAGACCTTGAAGGAAGACATTGCTTTGATGTCCATRCGTTTTCATTTGCAATTGGAGGTCTAGACGTCCTCCAAAGGAAACTCATTTCAGCTGTTTTCATAGTGATTTTGTTCAACTCAAGTCTGCAATGAGGCTTGGCTGTAAAAGCACCAGCCAGCCTCAACTCCTTMGTTAATAAGAAAAGACGTTACTGATGCTAACTGACTGACAGTTAACAAAGTTGTAATTTAGACTYCTGCAGAGTAAATGTAAAAAATCAGCAGCGACAGCGGACCACCATAATYCCCCTCCCCACATCACTAGTATCGGCACACAATTCAACGATTACCTGTGTCTGTACAAAAAAAAGCTTAAACTTGTCTGTGCAGAATGTGCCAAGAATTTARAAATAATGTAAACGAATTAATGTTTGTATCAAGTCAAGGCCATTGCCCATCCAGATTTTATTTTCCAACACAATCAGCTCTGTAAGTCTGRAGAAGCAACAACCTTCCCTGAAACACTTGTTCTTGATCTACTTGTTAATATATTGAGGATTTTCTTTAAATTCATTATATAAATAAGAGGAAGTTTTACAAAAGGAAAACCTGTCATGCTGCTGAATGAGAAAAAAAATAGCGAATTTGGTTTGTAGAACTTAGATAAGGTAAAAAGAATAAAAAAAAAGCTATACAAGCTTGAACCACTGTTCCAATTTAAACAAACAAACCAATCCTTAAGACGCTCCTGCCTTGAGCGTTGATGAACCCCTCTACCATGACAAACACTAGCCTTTGCACAATTTGGTGATAACAGCCTGGATGGTCTTCCTTATCTGTGGCTCCTGGAAATTGACTTTCTTAAAAACAAAATGAAGCTGAAATGTGAACTCGTGCAACCACAGAACAGATTTRTGTTTTTCTGTCTGCGTCTATTTGCAGAAACATTTCAGCTCACGTCTCCGTTCGTAGCATGGGACTCTAAGTGGTTTAACTGAGGTAATCTGGAACATATGTCACTATTTTAATCAATATGGTCGCTCACACCCAAGCACTTTGACTAATTCAATGACAATTCAACAAGACAGAAATGTTTTCATATTGGTGGGTGCTGTGAGTATTAAAGGACTTTATTATTATGCATATTAAGACGTTTTTAAGGGTGTATTCACATCTGACACATCTGGTCCGCTTCAAACGGATCAGAGTTTGTTTCCCCTGTTGGTCCGGACCTATTATGCAGGTGTGAAACACTCATGCGAACCCTGGTGCGGATCAAATAACGGACTGAGACCCATTTTTGAGGTGGTCTCGGTCCTCTTCCAAACAAACTCTGGTGCGGTTCGAACAGAATCAACTACAGGAAACATGCACCTTCTTGGACTTCATGAGCCACCATAGCTAAGAAACGTTAGCTCTTCAGTGTTGCTAATGCTAATGCTGTGCTACAAATAAATTAGTCGCTGTGGGTCAGAGAATGCAGAGATCTCTTCTCCTTTAGGTTGCGGCAAGCATTWGACAACATTGTCCCAAAATTATAAATATATCACCGCAAAACCACCACTGAATGAGCTGCTCTTGATATTTTTAAAAGTCATTTGTATTAATAGCACCATTTTTATTATATTATTATAGGTCTGTGCTCTGTTCTGCCCCTGTCATTTCTGTCCCACAGGAGCAATGAACGTCACCTGCGTGGCTTTGTTTATAAATTATAGTCCACTTGCAAGAAGCACAATGTGAATGAAAACTGCACTAAAGGAAAAAAAAATTAAGTCCGCTATTTGGTCTGGACCAAACAAGTGGACCAAGTGGACCTGGTGTGAATAGACCCTTAATAATGAGATGATCTATGATTCTTAAGAGTTCTGCAAAAGGTGCTGCGCAGTGATCTGTCTTTTTGTTGGACAGAAAATCAAAAATTTGAAACATCTCTGAAAACTTGGTTTCTTATTTTTTACAGTCTTGATGGATGTTGTAGAAAAGACTATAGTTTACAACAACATCTAAAACATTTAATCTTTCAAATGATTTTATGTTTCCATCCACATTACTGCTTATTGTCAACAACTCTGTCAAGCTTTAGAGAAGTCTGTGGCTTTACAACACTTCCTAAAGGGCACGGTAAGACTTCAGTTAAAGGTCAGCATGCTGGTCCAGCAGAAACAGGCAGCCACCACTATGTAACTTTAAACACTTCCAAGTCTGTCATTATTGTGCAAGTGAGAAGGGCAATTAGCCCGAGAACATGTCAACATCATTTAGAGTAAAGGCCACAATGTAGCAATCAGTCYAAGTTATTTCTCCACATTTCTGAACAAACGGATCTCACCTGGCACATCACTTTTCTTCTCCTGATAGACGGTGCTGGTGAAGGCGTATCGGAGGGCGATGGCAGCAAAGAACATTTCGATGCAGATGATGAAGTTCTGCCAGCCTGCTGCTACCGTGCCGGCGCCGACCTCTTGTCCGTTGATGAAAAGGGCATTGGGAATGACGCCGCATCTTTCCAGGATGGCTAGGACCATTCCTATAAATAATAATCATCTGTTGATTTATATGATGCTGTGTTGGGCCATTCAAAAAATAAATAAATAAAGAGGAACAAACTCACCTTGCCAGAAGGACAAGAAGATGACGGATTTAATTGTGAGAAATTTGAGCACCGGTTCGTACGGCCGGAGCAGGTCACTGGTGGCYAAGTAGAAGAGGAAGAGAGCGTAGAGGGCCAGGCTGACGGAGAAGTTGTAGATGATTGTGATGTAAAGGTATCCTCCATTCACACTGCACAGGACAAAAAACAAAAACATTTATTCCATTTACAAACCTTAAGTATTAATTTGCAAACATCACAACACACCTAATGTTTGTATTTAGAAATCCTAATTCATAAGCTTGACAAAYAACAGGCACATTTTTACATCTCATCAACAGCCTCCTTTTTCCCCCTCCATCACAGAAAGTTGCTCTGAAGGCTCAGCTGTGACCACGCTAATTACTCCCGTGCAGTAAAGTGCACGGTTGGCTGAAAGTGTAGAAGTTAGATTCGTAAGTCATCTTGGTCTCGCAGCAAAGCTTTGTGTGAAAAACAGCTCTTCATCATTTGGTTACTGAAGTAAATGGAGAAATAAGAAGAGATGAGTTGAGATTGTGGCAGTAAGAGGGTGATGAGAAGACTGGCAACCTCTGCATGAAACCCTCACTGAGCTCGGTTCCATTTTAAAACAAGTGTTGCCACCAGCTCAATCTTCAGCCAGACAGAGCTGGAGAGGAACAAGAAAATAATTCAAGTAGAGTTTAACAGCTGCAGATTTCATCACTCTGATTATATGCTAAAGACAATTTTATCGCAGATGTTAACTCTCCTTTCTCTGCTGAGACTCTTGGGGGTTCCTCTGAAGTTGTAAAATGCAGTTTCATTAAACTAAGAGTGCCATTTATTCCCCACCTTTCTATAAATTGAAATCTGACATGTTAAAAGTACAGCCACTCATCACACAATACTTTTTTTTCTATGATTATAAACTATTCAGACGAAGAGAATAAGTCTAATCTATTTAGTTCGTTCTGTTTCAGTCACAACATCAAAAATGTTGAAGAAGGTGTAAAATTTCTGTGGAAACAGACGGAACAACACAGCTGCAATGTTCAAACCCATAATTTATCACTTTTGGAAACATTTTCATCACGTCTCCTGTGAAAGGTTGAGCATTTCCAAACTGTTTTCATGTGCACCTAAACAGCATCTCAGCCCCCTGGGAATGACATGCATGAGGACTTTTTCCCTGGAGTAAAATGCAAAAAAAAAAAAAAAAAATTTAAATAAAAAAAGGTGCTGCTCACTTAAAATCTCCGTCATGATATTTGCCAAAGGCCTGCAGGATGATGGTGATGACTGCCATGATGGGTTTGACGACGCAGAACTGGAGAGTTGCCTGGAGGATACATGACAACCCAAGATGAGACATCGAGTGACAACAAGAAAGGACACCACCGAGAAGGACGAGGACATTAGAGTGGGTTTGTACATGAAATGAGATGGAAACATCTCACTGACGACAAGGTGTCTGTTTTCTGATTATTCCGCTTTGGAGACTGAGCTAATGAGTTGCATTTTCTGTCTACACTCATACAGATTAGCAAAGCAATATTTTGTACGAGCAGAACTACCAAATACACAAAATAACATTTTAATTTTAAAGGGGCAATGTCATATGTTGCGGGTAAAATAAGTATTGAACACGTCAKCATTTTTCTCAGTAAATATATTACTAGAGGTGCTAATGACATGAAATTTTCACCAGATGTTGGTAACAACCCAAGTGATCCAAACATACAAAGAAATCAAACCATAAATGTCCAGAAATGAAGTTATTTGTAATAATGTGGAATGGCACAGGGAAAAWGTATTGAACACATGAAGAAAGGGAGGTGTAAAAAGGCATGGAAAGCCAAGACACCAGCTGAACTCTCTCAGTAATTTGAAAGCAAGCCTGCCCATTGTCAGTGCAAATTAGTATCAGTTGGTTCAGTCCCAAATGATGGCCAGGTATCACACAAGAGCCATCTGATGATGGGTAAAAGTAAAGAGCTCTCTTAAGACCTTCACAACCTTATTGTTGCAAAGCATAATGATGGCATCGGTTACAGAAGAATGTCTAAACTTCTGAAGGTTCCAGTGAGCACTGTTGGGGCCATAATTCAGAAGTGGAAAGAACATTATTTCACCATAAACCGACCACGACCAGGTGCTCCTCGCGAGATTTCTGACAGAGGAGTGAAAAGAATTATCAGAAGAGTTGTCCAAGAGCCAAGGACCACTTGTGGAGAGCTTCAGAAAGACCTGGAATTAGCAGGTACGATTGTTTCAAAGAAAACAATAAGTAATGCACTGAACCACCATGGCCTGTATGCACGCTCACCACGCAAGACTCCACTGCTGAAGAAACAGCATGTTGAAGCTCCTTTAAAGTTTGCTGCACAACATTTACACAAGCCTGTGTAATACTGGGAGAATATAGTCTGGTCAGATGAGACCAACATTGAACAGTTTGGATGCCAGAATACACATCATGTTTGGAGGTCAAATGACACTGCACATGAGCCCAAAAACACCATACCAACAGTGAAGTTTGGAGGTGGGAACATCATGGTMTGGGGCTGTTTTTCAGCATATGGTACTGGCAAACTTCAAATAATTGAAGGAAGGATGAYTGGAAAAATGTACAGAGACATTCTTAATAAAAATCTGCTTCCATCTACCAGGATGATGAAGATGAAACGTGGCTGGACATTTCAGCAAGACAATGAGCCCAAACACAAAGCCAAGGAAACTCTCAACTGGTTTCAGAGAAAGAAAATAAAGCTGCTGGAATGGCCCAGCCAATCAATTGACTTGAATCCAACAGAAAATCTATGGAAAGAACTAAAGATCAGAGTTCATAGAAGAGACCCAGGAAACCTTCAAGATTTGAAGACTGTTTGTGGAAGAATGGGCCAAAATCACACCTGAGCAATGCATGCGACTGGTTTCTCCATACAGGAGGCGTCTTGAAGCTGTCATTGCCAACAAAGGCTTTTGTACAAAGTATTAGATAAATTTCAGTAAGTGTGTTCAATACTTTTTCCCTGTGTCATTCAACATTATTACAAGTAACTTCATTTCTGGACATTTATGGTTTGATTTCTTTGTATGTATGGATCACTTGGGTTGTTACCGACATCTGGTGAAAATTTCATGTCATTAGCACCTCTAGTAATATATTTACTGAGAAAAATGGTGACATGTTTAATACTTATTTTACCTYCTGTAAATTCAACTTTTCTTGAGTTTTATATCATGTTATAATGTTATACTCTCATAAAAAGCATGCCCAAAGCCTTGCTTTGACTCATGCATGTTTGAGAAATCCTGCAGTGTTTTTAGGAAGCCATGCTGAGGAGCAAAACAACAGGTGGGGACCAGAAACGCCTTTAGGGACCAGAAATGCCCCTGGGACGTCTTTAAGCCTAACTTCCTCATGGCACAGCGCACCCCATTCCACTCTCCCTTCCCCACATACCCCGCTCATGACTCCTGCAGGCTCTCGGGTGAAAGTGAAACTTAAACTGTCTGCTGAGCTCCACTACTTCTCACTCAATGAAGCTCTTTTCAGATTAAAAATACATTTGAGGAAATGTATTTTCAGATGCCAAGTAAACTGCATCAAAGCAGCGCCCCCCCCAACCGAAATGGGCAAGACAGAAGCAGAAGGTGGTTCTTAAAGAGACAGAGGCCAATTTCAAGGCATTTAGAAGAGGACGTGAGGAGAAGATAAGTTTATTTTCTATTTAAACATAAAAACAGCATTTTAATAACAACTAAAGGTGACATAGTTACTTTATTATGGTATAGTATTTAAATGTATGCCTGAGAAACACATAATATTGCCCCTTTAAAGTTAAGAAAAGGGGAACAAATCTACCTACTAGCCAAACAGGTTAAAATATGTTGGAGCTGAGCAGCAACCTGCTGCTCTCTCTGGTCAACTGACAATTGTCAAGAGGTAAAAATTGTTTCATTAAAGTCCAATTTCTGCACGCATCCATCTTTCAGACCATAGGGTCACATAAAACAACAACAACAACAAAAAAATACATGTTGAATTTGTTCTTTAATTAAAAAGCTAATCCCCAACTTAAAACAGATGCAACCTTTGTTTATGTGGACATCCCTTAAAACCATTAAAGTAATCTCAGGCGCTGATGGAGGACAAACGAGGATGCAGAGGATGGAGAAAAGAAATGGCAGGACAGGTGTCGTCTTAGTGGTGCAGCGATGCCTGAACTAAACAATCTGATAGAGCCCGACGCACATTAAAGCAACATGCCAGGAGCGTTCTACTTCAGTAACCAGAGGAAAGCTCTGACATGACCAGAGCAGGTGCTCCGTTTGTCAAACTGCCATCAATAAGTATTTATAATACTATATAAGTGATTCAGTTTAAAGCCTCCAGCACTGACAGTTTTTATTGTTCTACAGTCAGACTGTCTCTCTGAACATCCACACAGCAAAGTATTTTAAATACTCCCTGACATGTTTCATTTTTAGAACTACAGGTTCCTTATGGCAGAGAGGTAAAAGTACACAGCAGTTTTTTTTTTGCCTCTAGTTAAGGAAGTAGATCAAGCAATAAACTGTTATGCTAAGCAAAGTTGCATATCAGAGTACACCGCACGATCCAAACGGAAGATAAAAGATATAACCCGAGGCTTTTTCTTTCTCCGTTACAGTTTGTACAGAATCGCAAATTATATCTGCAAGTGCAACCATTGAGTTTTTCTAACCTGTCTAGATCAGAATCGATAACTATTATTTTTTCACTGTTTACGTCTCTAATGTTAATGCATATTTTAAAACCTTTTTTGATTTTTATTGTTACCCTTTATTGCCACTGTAAATTGCTAAATTCTAAACATGGGTGTGATAAAAAAAAAAGTCTTATCAACGCTGACTTCATTCACGATGGCTGCCACAGCAAAGCAATAAAAATGGCTGTAATTCAGTCAATTTTATTGATGTGTTTAAGTAACAAAGACCTTTATGAATAATACATAATTGGATCGGGTAAAAACAGCAACACCAGAGGGAGCCACGGGTTCTCACTTTAACATAAAAACATCCCACAAATGACGACGACATGATAAATGGCTTCACGCTGAAACGTCAGAAACAGTTTAAGACACAAGAGCAGCTTTTCCTCAAACCTTATCTTCAAACACCACCGTAACTCCAACCCGTTTTCCCATATCAGTGATTGATTCATTAAAACGTACTCTAATGACGCCAAAGCTTCGGCAAAATGTGCAAAGAATTATAATCATTTTAATCCTCTTCAAAAAGAGGGAAGAAGGCCCATCAGATCTTGCTCCCTGGCAAGCACTTTGTTTCAAGGAGCTGTTGAAGACTCGGGATGTGATCGATAAATGCAAATACATGGAGTGTTCAGTCAGAAGGAATCAATATGCATGGCAGCAGCTATTTTGAACATCCTAGGCCCTCACTTCACTTTGGTCCTGATCACCAAAACACTCTTTAATTATCAATATGACAACTCGAAATATAGTTTTACTTGATAAAAATCATTTTTAAACAAACAAAAAAAACTATTAAAAACTAAATTATTAAAGCCCCTAGCTACATTTACATTCTTCTTTTATAATGGTTCACTAAATATTCCCATCAAAGCGCACGGCTCATCCACCTCTAAAAGAAAAAAAAAAATAGGTATTTTCACCATCCATTTTGTTGTAAAGACATAACGCTCTGATTTAATATCCATCAACGTTCCAGTGGAAGGCTGAGCAGCATCCCAAGACACTGAAAAGGTGCTCTGTGCTGACAGTTTATATCATCTCTCCGTGTAGATTAACAAGCTGCTTTCACCTGCTCGTTGTTTTGCTGTTTGCTGTTTAACTAGTGCATGCTATCCACTGAAAAGGTGTGCATCCAATTACAGCAACTGTCATTTATAAACAGCCTGGAATCAAACGGTTACTCACAACTCAGTGTATTAGTTTTTTTTCATGACAAATTTATTGTAGTCTTCTTTGCTGCGAGCGTGTGACAATTCATTTTAGAGATCAAATAAATAATATTTAGAGCGGGGG